GCTGCCTGCTGGGTTAAACCACGACATTGGGTACCCCGGGACCTGTGGGGATAGCTGATGGCATGGTCCACCCAACCTCTTCAACTTATGCTCCAACACGCTCGTTGACCGAAGGGTGCTACAGGTACTGTGCATGTACACCGTGTCCAGATTAGTCAAGGAGTTCAGGCCTCACCCTGAAAATCTTAAAGGATATTTAAGTCAGGTTCCAAGAGAGGGAGTCTTAATTCTGGAATCACAGAGAGCAGCTTTTCCAAAGTTCCCCCATAAAGCTGGGAAGGGCCTGCAGCTAAAGCCTTTTTTGTCATGACTGGAGCTACTGGATTTACAGGGATAAGGGATACCCAGGTTCAACATTGCTTCTGCGCCTGAACAAGGATTTGAATCCAAATCTCACAAATTCCCAGATGACTAAGCTACAAAATACCCAGTAGTAGAGATTCTCAATCTGTTCTTAAATTTTACTCCGTTTTCATGTAAATTAATGAATACTGTAGTATTCAAATGTAATTTCCAAGGGCCAAATTCAGGATAAAATATACGAGTCAAGTATCAACAGAACAGAAGATCTGGCAATGATTTAAAGGCTGACACAGGGGGACATGTTGGCTTCTTGGTTGATGTTCTGTTCTATAATTCTGTATTAGTTCTGGCATCCGCATTTTAAAGTGATGATGAAAAACTGGACCATAAGAGAGGAAAATGATTGAAGATAGGGACTGATGAAATACTTCTGTTTTTCAAATAGTCCGATTATGGTGCAGACATCTTTGAAAAGTAAAAAGAAAAACCACCCCAATTATTTCTAAGTTTTTTTAATTTAGCAAAGAAAGCCAAAAAGCCCTACTCAAAGACCTGTTCAAGTCAGCAAACAGCAGTTAAATGAAAACAGCTGGAATGCACTAAAGGAAACCGGTGTCTTCAAATCAGGCAGACTTGCCCAAGTCCAACTAGTTAAGACTTAATTTGCACTTAACGTGAAAGCAACTAGGTGAAGTTCTATCGGCTGAGCAGGACAGAGATGAGGTTAGATAAACGGCTTAATAATCCCTTCAGGACCTGAATCTGATGAATTGTGCGTGAGATGCCACTGCCTGTCTTCACACTAGAAACTAGAACTACTGTCATCATTTGAGTACCATGAATAAATACCATTTTTAACATTTACAGTGACCATTTTTGATTTGAGGAAGGTTGTTTTCCAAAATACGCATTAAAATTCATGCAATTTCTGCTCCCAACTTGCTTGAGGGGATGTTTTGATTCCTGATGAATTTAATAGTCCCAGAGAAGCATCAGAGTTTTTTTTTGCCAGACCAAGCAGTAAGAAATTTCATTTCAGTTCCTATGGGAAGAGTTTTATGACTGACATGATGACTGAAGAGAAAATTCCAGCTACACTAGACAGCACTAGACTGTTTCTTCTAAAAAAGGTTGAGTCTGTTAATTAAGTTCTGGATTGTGTAGTACTCATTACAGTTAAAACAAACATCTCTCAAACAGTGTCTGCACTCAGCCACTGAACAGATAGGCAAAACCAAGGCTTTGGGGAAAAAAACCAACCCAACAGACCAACCACCTTTACACAGTTACACGGTAGTTGAACTATTTAGCGTCCAAAGAAAAACTACAGTTATCCTGTGCTCCTGAAAAGCAATTATCTTTCTCTGTAGAGTGCAGTGGTATTTTATAAAACTGGAATTACTTTTAAAAAAAAAAAAAATTTGAATGACTAGCAAAAGGTCACAGTAGGTCTAACAGAGATAGAAGATCTAATCTTGCTGCCTGACAAATCTTTTCATCTGAACAGTTACATTCCATCTGTGAGTGCTGTACTAACATCCAGTAAGAAACACCACTCCGACCTTTATTGAGAGAGGAAAACAAGGAAACGTAACTTTACTGCAAGATGTGGCTGTAAACTTGTTACTCCCCCAGCCCCTTTCCACTGCAGAAGCCATCCCTAATGATACACTGATTCGTGATGATGCAGCCAGCCCCCTTAGCATCATTAAGGTTGCGACATCAAAGAAATAGTTAGCCCACTTTCACTTTCGGTGCACATAGCACGTGTCAGCTGTACTGGGCCAGCTGTGCCGGGGTGACACAGTGCTCTCCTCCCCCATGCTCCTACAGTGCTCCAGCCCTCGTGAACGGTGTAGGCAACGGAGCAAACACAGGAAACCTTTCCCTTCCCCTACAACACAGCCTGCTTCCTTAGGCCAGTCCCAACCAGCTCGGTGTTAGCGTCATACTGGGACAGCTTCACAATCTGTATGGTTCTGCACAGCCAGCAGCATAACAGTCTAGAAATCGTTTTGTGGGGCCCTCTCCATGACAGCTTTCGGGAAGAAGGGTTATGAGGGGACAAGAGCCTCAGAGATCTATCGGTCCATCTTGACAGCATGACAGTGGCTCCTCTCATTATTAAGCTGAAGAAACCTTCACGAAGGTGCTGGCAATCAAGGGTGGTCCACAAAGCACTAAAACACCCTTTAATTCTATGAAATCTCCAATGGTCCCAACAGACAGCTGTGCTGCTCCACACAACACAAAGGTAAATTTGGAAATGGAAGTGCTTCTCGGGCTCACCTGCTGGTTATAAAGATGCTCTGGCGCTCTTCTGTCACTCAACAGCAAAGCATTTCTTACAGAAGGAAAAGCCAGCTGCCAACAACAAAAAAGACAACACGCCCCCACATCTCTGAGGTATGTCAGCTGCAGATACACATTAAAAAAATCGTAAGCCTTAAATAACAAGCATAGAAGTTTTGCACGCCCCCACATCTCTGAGGTATTTCAGCTGCAGATACACATTAAAAAAATCATAAGCCTTAAATAACAAAAAAATCATAAGCCTTAAATAACAAGCATAGAAGTTTTTCCAATCAAAAATTTTATTGACATTCTTGGCAAATTAATCTAGATTTATGATCTTGGTCTCTCCTTCTTGCCCTTGTACAAGGCCAACAGAGAAACATTGGCTACTTTGACAACCTTGAAGCGAACTCCAGGAATGTCACCAACAGCGTGACCCTTCCGACCGAAACCGGCAACCAGAACTTCGTCGTTTTCCTGTAATGAAAGACCGTGTAGTTACAAAGCTATAAACATTAAACCTGTGCATACTGCTGAAATGGGCAACATTAGAAAGTCTAGGGTGTGGCTCAAATTTAAAGAAAAAGCAGAAACACTTAAGGCCATTGATAGATATACATTAATAAAGGACTGTTATCCCCTGCAGTGTTTTGGAGAAAGGAAGCATAAGCAGAGGTGTCATTTAGCTTGCAGCAGCACAGCTGAGACCAGGCTTTGCTAAGGGAGGGGAAAGTACAAAAACATCTCTCACATTTTTTGTCTGCCCAGCTTTAAGATACACGTGGTGCGGAATGCCATGAACCCTTGTCTAACCATCCCCTAAATCCATCCATTATGTGTTTCTTTACTTTGATATACAACTTTTTATAGATCACTTTCCTTGAAAATTACCTCAATGAAGTTCAGGCAGCCATCGTTGGGAACAAAAGCTGTTATTTTTTTGCCGTTCTTAATCAGCTGGACTCTAACACATTTCCTGATGGCAGAGTTGGGCTGTTTAGCTTCTACTCCACTAAAATGGAAGCACATGGAAATAAGTTAGCAAAAATCACTTGGATGAACTAGCCGATATTCATTACACCACCACAAATTACTGTACTACTCTGTACTAAGTGCAACTTGTATCTGTACTTCAAAGCAAAAATTGTTAGTTACCTATTTAGACCTACTCAATATGTAAAAGCCCAGTTCCTAACCTGAGTAAAAATTGAAAATTAATGACCTATAGACACATACTAACTCAGTAAATAAAAATCGAGGCGGGGGGGGAAGGGGAGAGAAACATCGCAGAACCCTGGCAGTGTCCCAGAGAAGCTTATAAATTGCGAAAGGAAAAAAAAAGGCCAGACGAGAAGTAGATGGGCTCTTCGACACAAAGCACACACACAAAATCCACCCCCCCTAAATCCTAAACTGAGTTAAGTGGTATTTTTATTCTTTTGCTTCTACATAAGCAGAATTTTTGAAGTGACACGTGTATGCAAAAAAATACCTTGAAAAGGTACACTTGGAAAAATAAACCAAGTTTGCAATCCAGCATATGGCAACTAACAGAAATGCGGCATGTCACAGGTAGCAAAACCTCTCACACCTTTAGAAAACAGGACAGCTTCGTGTGCTTCTTCCCCGAGGTCCCTCCCAAAGGCCTCGTTTCCCGCGGGACTC